GGAATATTCAGGCAATGTGTCCACAGCAGTATGGATGAAAAACCCTGTCCCTAGAATCAGCATAACTAATGCAGTCAGCAGTGGGTCACTTCCTTATCTGCTGTGGTAAATCACTAGGGGACATAGAGCAAGGCTGTAACTTTTGTAGCAGGGCTGTGCTGTACTTAAGGAAGGTCACTCCCAGGCTCATCGTACCTTGGATCTATTTGGAAACACAGGGCCATGTGGAGCAATATATACTCCAGAAAATACTTGGGTAACAGATCAGACAGTACATTTGATAAGTCAACCTAAGAAAGTTGAGTAAGGTCATCTCCGTAGGATTTTATTTTCTCATCTATAAAATAAGAGAGGTTGGACTAGATGATCTGGAGTGTCATCTTCCAGTTACAATATTGTCCGTTAACAGTGTTTTGTCGGGAAAGCGTAAAGTGGTCCCTCCCGTTCCTGTAAGAGAAGATTGCAGCTCTGGTCACAGAAGGTGATGTTGCTTAGCATTCTCCCCACCCTGTCTGAGCTACTTCTGCAGACCTAGTGAGAGGGAGGTCTCCCAGGTTCTGCTGAGTTTCCACATTGCTATACGCTTTAACTCTGTACACACACGCCGTGAAACAAAACACGTGCAGCTGTCTTTACATTTAATAACTCTAGACTTTCCCTTCTACCCAGTCTGCTCCCGTCACAGGGCACAATCCAGGAGCATTCAGCATGGCAGAAATCTCCTGCTTTTATATATGTATTTGCGGAAAGTAGAGTCCTAGAATAATAAAGATTTCTCAGGCTAAACTTAAAATGGTTGATTAGCTGCCCCCTCAGAGTATTTTTTATTTTCTTTTCTAAAATTAAAAAAAAAAAATCTAAGAGTCTGTGGAATTTTAATGCAATTCTAGTTTGGATGTGGAAGTCTTTCCCATTAGTTTGATCCTTAGCCCTTCTTTGAACCTAGGAAGGGCTGACTTCTGATGTGCTATGAAAGGGGAAGTAGGAGAATTCACGTCTCTCCTGGGGATGACTCAGAGCTACTGGGAAACTGCCTGGAGCAGTTAACATGGCTTTGAATAGGCTGGCCACCCCCATGGGCGTGCAACCTGAAAGTCACAGCATGGAAATAAAGTTTATGAAGATACTGTATTTTCATGATGAGTTAGCATTTGAATGGCATTTCTTGATAATGTATCTTTCAAAGAAGACTCGCTTACCTCAATGAATAACAGCCCCTTGTTTGATACCATAATATGCTCTTTGTATACCTGATTATACCCAACACATCATGGTATCATTTTGTCTGTTTCCTCAAATAGACTGTGAGATCCTTAAGGTCATATTCACTGTTTCATTATTTTCATCAGTGTCTAGCACAGTGCTTGGTACATAGGAGGAACCTAATACATATTTTTTAGTTGAGATCAGATCTAGATAGAAGAGATAAAAAGATATTTGGGAGTTGTACCAGCCAAGATAGACTAGGTTATGTTGGGGGGTCAACAACATTAAAATGATTATTTCTCGTGCTTTTTACTTGTCCACAGTGGGGAACAGAGGTGGGAGAGATGGTGAGGAATGTGAGGATGATTTTTCATTGGAGCCACTTGAAGACCCAGGCTAATAGAGGCCCTACCATCTCAAAATTGGGGTTCAGCCTTGCTGCTGCAGGACAAGTGATTCTGTTGGAAAGCAACACTTCTGTTCACATTTCATTGGCCAGGACTAGTCCACGAACACAACTGATTTAGTGGGGGCAGAACAGTGTGCTCCTCCGTATGTTTAGAAGTGGAGGAGGATGGAATATTCATGAACATTGGTTTTGTTTTCCACTGGAATCCTTTGTTTTAGACAATAATAAAGGAATAGCTAAAATTACCCAAAGATACAGGATGCAACTCATATTCTAGTAGCAAAGTTTACTTTACTTCCCAGTTTAACAGCTGAAAAAGAGCTTAGCAAATCTGTGCATTTAAACCTTTAAAACAGCATAGTTAAATCTAGGTTTCACCTTGTTAGGTTTCTGGAGAAAAACCTTTAATTTTATGTTAAGATTATTATTTTAAATGAATTCATCTTCTCTTCTCCACTTCCTACTTAATTTTTTACTTGTTTTACCAGTTCAAGAATATCTCTGAAGCATTAATGGATTACTTTTGAATTTTAAAAAAGAGATTATGAACTCAGTAGAATAGGAAATATATTTTATTATTCTTTTGGAGAATAAGCTAAGTGCATGGGCTTGGCCTTGTGATGCTGGGTCATTTACATGTGATCCCCATTGCTTTCTAGATTTGGTGATTGCAGAATCTTTAGAAAATCATGTTAGCATTAAATTTATAATATAGAAAGCTAAAACATCAGAAGTGAGAGCTGGGTGGGACTTTGATGACCCCTAAAGATCTCTAAAGGCAATTGGCTGATTTAGGCAGAGAAAGTTATTTCCTGGGGTAACTTGACTGTTGGGTGCTTGCTATTCGATTCTCTAGTACAGTTGTGCTTGCCTCAAGTTCATTTTCCTCTGCAAGCTGTTAACACCACTACAAGGTGCAACACATAACTAGCTAATAGTTTAAGGCTTTGCCATGTGTAATCAGCACCATTTACAAAAGGATACTCAGGCTTTCATCGTGCAATACATTTATTGAGCACTTAATGATAATTCTTAGCTAATAGTTATTCAGTGTTTACTATGACCTGGCTTTTTACACTCTGAACTTGAAGTATAACCTACATGCAGAGACCTTAAGTGTATATACCTTCATGAATTTTTATATACCACTTCCAGTTCAAGGTATAGACTGTTCCTAACCCCCTAGAACAGAAATCATTAAATTTTTTCTGTAAACTTCCTGATAGCAATTATTCTAGGTTTTGTGAGCCATTTACTCTCTGTTGCAACTACACAGCTCTGCCATTATAGAGTGAAAACAGGCATATGATACATGAACAGATGAGGATGGCTATTCTCTAGAATTTTATTTAGCTGGATTTGGCCATAAGCTATAGTTTGCCAAACTCAGCCCTAAAATAATCCCAGGCAGGCATTTTACATTTAACCCTTCCAGTGACCATATGAGGTAGGTATTATTTTTTATAACTTTATTGTTGTATAGTTAACATACAATACACTGTACAATTTTATAAGTTTTGACATATGTGTACCCTTTTGAAACATCACTATAATCAAGATTGCAAATATTTTCATCACCTGAAAGCTATTTGCTCTATAGCTCTTTTGTAATCCATCCTCCTGCCTTGCCCAAGGCAATCATTGATCTGCTTTCTCTCACTGCATCACTATAGTTTCTGATTTTTTAGAATTTGATATAAAAGGACTCATAGTATTACCTGTTCTCTCCTTGGTCTGGCTTTTTTGACTCAGCATAATTATTTTGAGATTCATCCATGTTGTTACTTGTATCCATAGTTCCTTTCCTTTCTATTGTTGAGTTGTATTCCATTGTATGGATATACCATAGTCTCTTCATTAGTATGTAAATAGACATTTGGGTTGCTTCCAGTTTGGGGCTATTAAAAATAAAGCTGCTGTGAGCATTCATGAACATGCCTTTTTATAGACGTGTGTTTTCATTTTGTCTGCAAATACCTAGGAATGGAATGGGTTTGTTGTATGGTAGGTATATGCTTACATTTTTAAGAAAGTATCAAATTGTTTCCCAACATGGTTGTACTATTTTAAAGTATTATTCTTACCAGCAGTATGTGAGAGCTCCAGTTGTTCCACATCTTCACCAACACTTGGTATAGTCAGACTTTTTAATTATAGCCATTGTTGTGGGTATAAAGGATCAGCTCATTGTGGTTTAAATTTGCGTTTCCCCAATGGTTAATAATTTTGAGCATCATTTCTTATGCTTATTTATCATCATATAAATTCTTTGGTAAACTATTCCAATCTTTTGCTTACTTTATTAAATTTTTTTAATCTTACTTTGGAGTTTTGAGAGCTCTTTATATTCTGAGTACAAATTTTTTTAATCAGATATAGGATCTGTATTTTTTTTTTTTTCTCCCAGTTTTTGCCTTTACTTTTCATTTGCCTGACAGTTTAATTGGCACTGTTTTGATTTGTCACATATGGTGATGTTAGAAAGCACACCTTCTGCTGCTGAGAGAGCTTCGAATCCTGGCTCTGATACCGAAGGAAATGGATATTCTAAGCCACAAGGAACTCCTCAAAAATGCCTTGCCACATACATTTCTGGTTTTCTTATGTTTTAACAAGAAAGTTAATATGAATACAGACTTGAATATGCTTTAACATGGTTGGTAAAAAGAAATATTTGAAGGGATTTATAGGTGATTCTATGAACAAAACAAAAACAAAAGCCACTAGAGCTTAATAGCTCTTTATAACTTCTGGATTTCTGTACGTTTACTAGTTTGGCACCTCACCCTCTATTCTGAATTAAAGGGGAAAGCCATAAAATAGTGGGTTTGCATGTCTGCCTTCTTAGAGGAGAGCAGTCTTGCATTTTGAATCGAAAGCGGGTTTGGCTGGAGATGTGAAGGAAAGAGGAGTTAAGAACATGAGCTCCTTTAGCTCGTGTTCAGTCCTAATCTTTTTGACTAGCATTTTACCCACCACACTTATCTCCTTCCTGCACGTCTTATTTTCTTCTATTCTTGTGTCTTCCCTCCACTCCCAACTTTCTTTTTTCCTTTAGTACCTCTCTTCTCTTAGACCAAGAAGAGTGGAGGGGGAAATGATGGACTCTGTAGCTTTACGAACTGTCATCTCGGTGTTTATGGAGAATGTGGGGTACGTGCACTGAACATAAAACTGGGGAACTGTGTTCTCGGACCACATGATCAGCCGCTTCTGCTTTGTGGTTCGTGGTTCTGTGTGTATGTCCTCAATCCTACCAGTTTATGGTGCTGTGGAATGACAGATATGTGTTTATAGCATTATTCTTAGGGTCAAAAGGATTATAACTAAATATCGCCTCTGTCCGAAGTATAAGTTTTTAATCTCTTATTATACTTATTTCTAGGGCAGGAACGGTTTGGCAACATGACCCGAGTATATTACAAAGAAGCTGTTGGTGCTTTCATTGTCTTTGATATATCGAGAGGTTCCACGTTTGAAGCTGTTTTAAAATGGAAAAATGATCTGGATAGTAAAGTCCATCTTCCAAATGGCAACCCTATTCCTGCT